TGTCTTTACTGTGAAGATACAGAGCACAAGGAAAGCTGTTAGCATCAGCATATACTGATTTATGGAGTAGTTGAACTGCAACTTACAGAGCTTCCTGAGTTTTGGAAAATGCTGATATAATTTAGCAGAATCACAGTAAAAAATGTATCCTAGTATGGTTGAAATTATGCTGTCTTCATAGACCTATCCATGCAGTTTTCTTGGCAACAGCAGTGGTTTGTGATTGCTTTGTGCCATTGCTTACAGCCCTGAAATTCTTGGGGGATCTCCTTCAGGCTTTATCCTCTTAGTTATGAGCCCAGACAAAATCAGTCTGGTGGGGCCATCTGCTGAAGCCAGCAACAGTTAACAACATGGCTGTTTGACACCTGTATAGCTGCTCTGTATATAATATAATCCTGCAGGTCCTCATTGTTCTAATGCTTTAGAATTATCATAGCATTGATAAATGCTCATCCGCTAACAGTAAGAGACACATTTGGGTGTATATATGTGTTATATTTGCTTTGACATGAAACTTATTGCATTATGGAATGGAAACTTGTTACATTATGGTGTTTTTAATAAGAACCAATATTGTACTTTCCTCCTTTGAGTCTGCTATGTTCTTAAGGTTTGCCAAAGGAGCTTGTGTCTGCTTCTCATATCTGAAAGTTGTATACTCAGATGGGGTATACAACTTGGTTGTAAAAAGATGGGGGTAAACTTTGGTGATGCCATCTTGATAGTAGAATGGTTTTCTCTCAGAGTTGGTACAGATGTTGGCTTAACAGTGGATGTCAGTTTAAAATTTAGATTTTACTGAATGCAGTTAAGTGCATTTGAGGGAATTTGTTGTATTTCTCTTGTTTTACCATATCTGTTCTATTGTAAAATTTAGGATATTTGGGAGATAAACATAATTTGTTAAATAAAATCCATTGGTACAATGTCAGCACTAACACAGACACAGGGCTTACAATAATGCAAACCTTTAGTCCATTGATTCAGGATTGTCTTAAACTGACTGGTTTTGCTCCGTTCTACCTCAGTAGGCTAATAATATAATTTGCAGTCTTTGCCACTGGATCATGCCTCTTTGCCATGGTGTTGCATTCACCTTAAGGTTTCTTGGGGTCATGTTCTGTTTCCTGATTGGTAAATAGTTTACAAGTGTGAAGTTCTTAATACTTAAGACTAAGTCTAGTATACTAAGCAATTCAAGGATAAAGATGTGGTGAACTCTTGAACTCTTGCTATTAATTGATACCGTATTGAAAAATATTTTGAGTTTTTACCTAGGAGGTTTATCTTTTGTAGACATATTGCAGCACTGTTTCTTTCGTTAGACCTGGATGTTATATTTGACAGAGCTGTTGGGACTGATTCAGTCAGGTCACCAGGATTTTAAAATGTAGTTAGCAATTCACTGCTAAGCATAATTATGTGACTGAAAAAAACAACATGGGATCATCAATAGGACATGATATACTTTGCAAATGGGTTAAAGTTATATGCGAAGAAGGGCAGTGCTGTTCTATTTTACGTACAGTATCATTTCTTTCCTGGAGAGGGGCACCTTCAGACTAATGGCTCCTTACTCTGTCACCCCAAATATTTTTTTTTTCCCTGTGATATGGAAGACAATGGAAGAAGTGGCTAGGAAAATAAGAAGTAAATGGGAAAACAAAATTACATTTGGGAATAATTGGCACCCTCAGTAGACATTTATTTGTTTACAATTTCAATTTCTGTGGCAGCCTACTCACACATGAATGTGTTGTTTTAAGAATTGGCCAAACAAATGTCCTTTATCTAAAAGGGTCCCCCCTCCGTCCCCCCAAATTGTGGTGTCTTTAGCTAAACAATCACTATACAGTGGAACCTCGGTTTACGAACTTAATTTGTTCCGTGACTCTGGTCGCACCCCGAA